TGTGCTCTATACGCTTCCCACGGTGCTTTCCCATCATATTCCTGCGGCTTCCTTCATACTGGATCACTCCTATTACTGACATTCATATCTGCGATGTGACTTCCAACAGGGCTGAAGATGTCTGCATTAGGGTTTAGCTGCGGGGTCTGGAAGGGGCTTCCTGGTTAAGTCTGGGGCTGATTAAGTCGATGGTTAATATATCCTCCTTGTGTGAAAGACAATAAATCATCCTTTAATGTATCTAATTCGCTTTTAAATTTACTAATGTTTTCCATTTGTACTTCTTGCCACTGTTGTTGACTTTCCTGTAGTTGCTGCTGACTTTCTTCCTGTTTCCTTTCTTGTTCAGAGATTACAGCAGTGGCAACTAGAGATTACAGCAGTTGTTGGAGGAAAAAGAAAAGAAACAAGAAGAACGAGAAAAGAAACAAGAAGGAAGAGAGACAACAGCAGTTGCAAGAAAACCTGCAACAGTGGCAGCTCGAACAACAAAATAAACAAGAAGAAGTAAACAGTAAATATCCAAAGTGTTGATCAATTTTTTATGTCCTGCATTAGTTTCATTACTGAAAAAAAACCTGCATACTGACAGTTATAAGTCCCTTACAATAGGTATGAGAATGTAAATGGACTGTAGTTGGTTGTTCAATAAAGAGGGATGCCATTTTGGCTTACACACTGAGACCTTCTACTATATCTACACTGCCTAAACTTCCACTGAAACAGTTTCCCTTGCATTGTATGAGAAAAGCAGTTGTTGTAAAATAAAAGGAAACTCTAAGTTTACAATGATTAAACCACAGATAACCTAGTAATGTTTAGTTTTAACTGTTTTCATAGAAAGTTATCTGAAATACACTAATACCAATTGTGGTAGAAATACATTTAAGAAAGGTTGTCATATTTGTCTAGCACTAGAATTATCATTTGTGTTCTTTAAACAATGATATCAAATAAAAATAAACCTTTTCTCTGCTTCCAATTTGTCCATTCTTTTCCACAAACGATTGACAAGAGCTTCTTGTTCTTGTTCAAGAGTGTTTTCTAACTCAACTTTTTCTCGACGTAGCTGCTCTAAATTTGACTGCTTGGACAATGTCTCTGACTCCAGCTTTTCTATCTTCCTCATTAGTTTGTTGACTAATACCTCCTGTTCTTGCTCAAGTGTCTGTTCCAGTTGAACTTTCTCATGTCGTAGCTATTTAATACGAATAAACCCAAAAGAAAAATTTACATATACATGCATTATGTCTAAAAAATAAAAAAAGCTCTTATTAAGGAAGGTAATTCACTGCATATCCAGAAGAAGTAAGCTTAAAAATGCAGGGTAAAACAAGATTTCTGGCTTTTGGTGTTTCATGCATATGCTACATGTACATTTTTTTAAATTATAGTGGTAATACCAAATGAAAAAAAGTTATTTTTTTTAGAATACCTTACTTCTTTCAGCTGGTTACTTTGCATTATTCTTTTAATGTTTTACAATTAATGAAAAGACATATTCAAACCCTATTAACAATTTATTTGTATTCTTATCATGAACACTATAACATATTGAAGCTTTTCCTAATTTTAACTAGCTAATAGTTAATGTTTTTAATTTCAGTAAATTAATGCACTGCATTTAGCATGCCTTGCTAACACTAAACTTGTTTCCAAGTAACTTAATATAATTTTTCTAAAACATCACAAGTGTAATGCAAAAAGGAATATTAAATTAATATTCTTAGCTCATCTAATTGGAAGGATATGTGTTATGGATATCCAGATATCAGGCTCTGATATCTAGAAACTTCATGAGGGCTGTAAACAGCTCCTATGTATTAGTACATGTGGGCTGTTAGCAGGCTGATTCCATATCTCTATTATTTTTTACAAAATTGGACAATAAGATTTAATTTGGATTTACTGAATTGTACTGTGGTTATATTTCAAGGGCAAAATAAGGATAAGAGGCAAATATAAGGCCTGGTAGATTGATTTGATGAATAAACAAAATAACATTCAGTAAAATTTTATATCCAGTAAAACTGGAAAAATTATAATGTAATCTCCTTAAAGTCTAGCACATAATATTTTGACTAGAATCATATCATAATTCCTTTTTGTAATTTACAGACAATAGTAAAATGGTATTTACACTTTTTTACAAGGAAAACAAATTATCACTTTCACTATTTGTTCAAAAAATTAAAATTCACTAGCTTGCATAGACACACATCTTATAAAAAATTGAGTTAATTTAAAGTAACTCTACTTTGCATAGTCATTTACATGTACCATGATCCTTTGTCCTTTTTCTGTTTAACTATCAGCTAGCATAACATATTCAATCATTATCTCACATACAGTGTGTACAGGAGAATTCTCTCCATCAGCAGTGTCAACATCAAATGATTCCTGTCAAACGAGTTCTTGAAAAAGAATCTCATCTGTTTCAGCCTCATCATTTGATTCACTAGATATGCTAGAATCAGAATCATCCTCATCATGATCTCTGTAATCACTTAAATCTTCATCACCAACAGTATCTATTTCAATTTCATTGTACACATTTGATTTCTCTTTCTAGGCTGCACATTCTATAGACATTTTAGAAAGATTTGTATCAAATTTCCTTTTTGCCATAACCTTTACCAAGGCTGTTTCTAATATTTGTTCCTTTTCCTCATGTGTCCATATAATATCATTTGTTTGCATCAACAGAAGGTTCTCCACTGTTCCATGTTTTTAACTAAGGCTTTGGTCCTTGAGCATGCAGATAATGTGACTAAACTCTGCCTCAAGGACACTATTACTGAGCCCCATGCAGAGCACTATTTCCACCAGAATACAAACATTCTTAAATTCTTCCTTCTGTATAGAAGCACACGCTTCCAGAGATACTTAGTTTTGACTTCACTGATGTAGTATTAAATTATTCTCTTGAATTCTTTCTATTCTGAGCTTATCTTAGTTTTACCAAAATTGTTAATTTTTAGCATCTCATAAAAATGCTCTGCAAGTTCATTTAAATATTCAATTTCCCAAATGAGTATTATTAACACTGACAAATGGATACTAAGGTAACAACGATACTAAGAATGCTATAACAGGATCTTTATTCTTTCAATGCTTCGACTACAAGTCTTCTTCAGGAGAGAAGTGACACCATATTGCTTTACAAGGGTATATATACAAATTTTCCCAGATTAGGTTCCTGGTCCCTGCCACTCCATGATTGGTTCATTATCATCATCTGTCGACAACCACCTGACCAATCAGCATCCTGTTCTCGTCTCACTATGCTTATTGCTGTTTCTGTTAACTTGTAGTCTCCCACTGTGATGTTTATGTTCTTTTCTAATAAGATGTAAACAGCATCTATAGCTTTCCTTTGTTGCTTTCCACCACTTTGCTAACAATTCTAATTTCCTTCCATTTAGGCAGGTGTCCTGCTTTTTCTGCATGTGCTACAATTGTGTTGGTTGTATTGTGTATTCTGACGTCTGCTTTATGCTCATTGTCATCCCTCTACCAGTTTCACCTATATAAACTTCACTGCATCCACCACATGGAATGTAGTGTACTACACTGCTGTCTGTTGTGTGTTTCTGTCTCCTGTTCTTTACCATCTCTCCTATATCAGTCAAATTCAGAAGGCAGTTTCCATGGTCCACCATCCAATGGCTAGGAAATGATAAGTGGTAAAGACTCCCATGCTCCACTAGAAAAAAAAAAGGAGGAGAAAATGCACTGGGGAGCCTGGAGAAGTGCATTACCATAAGGCAGTGCAACAAGTGACCACAAAAAAACCTTATCTTTCAAAGCAGAACAGCACTAAGTTCTAAACTACTCATGGAGGATGGGTAGGGATACTCTGCCTGCTTTACTCACGACAGTATATGTTTAGAATAATAAGCACTATAAAGATACCTCTAGCAGTCTTGTGAAACACCCCATCTCATTGGTGAGCACTATATCAGGCCATGATGGCCCTACACTGTGCAAGTTTCAGTCAAGTATACCTTGGCAAGCAACACCTGCCACTGAGTGGGATTCTGAGAATGACCTGCAAAAATTATGATAAAGAAAGGGAACTTAATCAGTCAGAGATGGTAAGAGGTGTGGAGAATAGCAACTGAAGGCATTCTATAGCCCAACAAAGAAGAAACAGCCAAATAATGTGTATAGTGTGTGACAAAGGTGCGAGGTGTTGTCCTCATGCCAGCCTGAAAGATCTCTTTCCATGAACAACAGAAGTGAGTTAAGCTAAAGTGTGTAAAAGGTGAGAAATTTGATGAGAAGATACCTGGAAGCACTAGCATGCATCCCCCTCCAATGAAGAATATGCCAAGTGTATGAACTGACACAGCCATGAAAAAGATCATGAGTGGACAAAGGATTCCACAGAATAGAGAGAGACACAATTGGGAATCATGAAAAGAAGTTTTGGCCAAATAAAAATGGATCTCCCAGACAGAACAGAGGAAGCAATCATGATTCATACAAGAATAAAAAAAAGAGAAATTGGAGAGAGAGATATAGGTGTGAATGCACAATTACCCTCCCATGCCACTGACATTTTAGGGAGAAGAGTACAATCAGGTTAGAAAAGAATATAAGAGCAATAAGACAGAATTCAAGAAGAATTGATAGCATACACGTCAGAACATCGATGACCACAGGTGAAAAGGAGGAGGAAATAGGTTTTTAAGGAAAAGATTATACAAGGAACAGGAAGCCAAAAGTTCAAAAGGAGGAATGGTAAGGAGAAAGATAACAATTTTAAGGTGCCAATCATGAAGGCTACAAGTATGGAAAGGGAAAAGGAGGTGAATGGAATGGAAGAGCATAATAAGGGTCTGAGAGGAAAAACCTGACAGAAACAGGAAAACTGGAAAGTAATAGAAAGAACCATCTGGTAGCCAGCAACAGTGGACACCAATAAGCCCTGGTTGAAGAGCCAAGACAACTGGGAAATGGAGGGATGAAAAGGGTTTTTGACATAGTGACCAACAGCGAAAAATATGCAGAGAAGGCTGAGGTCTGCTGAGAAACACACCCAAGTGAATCAGATATTGAGTGGGTGTGAAATGAGACTTTTCCATCTTGACTAACCATCCAAGATGAGCTGTCTCCTGAAGAAGGAGAAGAGTATGGTCATAGAAGTCCTGTTGGGATGAAGCTGAAAAAAGCCAGTCATCCATGTAATGCCAAAACTGCAATCCCAAGCTGTGAATGTGATGAGCAAAGGTATACACTACTTGACAAAAGATGTATGGTGCTGATGCCAGTTCAAAAGGAAGAGTGCAGGACTGATAAACCCAACATTGATGAACAAACCAAATATAAAGTCAGAATGCTGAGGAGATGGAAATGTGTAGAGATGCATCAGGGACATCTACCTTGATCATCCAAAGCCCTAGAACAAAAGACCACTGAAGAGTGAAAAATAAACTCTCCATTGCAAAATGAGGAAAGTTGAGAAACTGATTAAGGCATGAAAGATCTGTGACAGTAGGCCAATACCCAGTTTTCTTGGGAGTGACAAAAATATGAGAATAAGATCCTGGAGAAGAGTGAGGAACCTGTTCAACAGCATCCTTGATCAACAGGTCTGATATCACCTCTGAGAAATGCTTGTGAGATACAAGATCCCTTAGAGAAGGGAAAAAATATGAACATAGGACAGGGAAGAGGAGAAGAAAAATGAAGAATAAGTCTCACTGTTAAAACATGTAGCACCCAACAATCAGTCCCAAATGGAAGCCATAGATCTGCAAAACAAGCAAAATGGCTACCTACCATCCCTGTAGGCACTAAAATCTATGCATAAACAAAGAATGGATGGGAGCAGAGGAACAGGAGGAAGTGACTGGAGAGGATATTGTAATGGAAAAAGAAGAAGATTGGGAGAGAAGTGGTAGACAGGGGAGGACAAGAAGAAAGTTGGCATGTGGCCACATCAGGTATTTCCAGAGAATCAGGTACTCTACAAAAACAACTTAGTGGAGGAAAGGGGCCAGATGAAGGTTCCTGGGATAAGAGGGAGGCAAATGTACTTGATCAAGAAGGGTTTCCCTTGCTTACAAACCCCAGTAACAGAGAAAAGAATAACATGCCAATGTAGAGAACATAAGGTAGTGTGTATCTGCTGAAAATACCTCACAGAAATGGTGGATTGCCTTGGAAACAAGGTGAATGTTAGAAAAACAA